AGCGTCGGTGAGGGAAGCCCTCAGCTCTGGGTCCAAGTTCTTTTTGGCCTTGATAGACATTGACTCGGAAGTGATTTCCTTTTGCTTGTAGGAGACTCCAACGCGCATGTAGAACCACGCTTCCTTAGATAGTCCAGTCACACACTTGGGATGGTTTGGGAGGGCAAGGGAAAGCGCAACACACCTCCCACATATATAGCAAAATAGACAAATAAGCAACAACAAGAATCATCATCGTCCCCTGGGAAATCTTCATCCTCATAGTACAGCCCTGCGCTCTTTCGAGCTTGAACGATCTTCTCGAACTTGTCTGCGGGGTATTGGGCTCGCAATGTGCGGCCCTGAACCGCTTGCCACCCCTTCTTTCCCTCATTCTTCCGTTCCATTTTTCTTTCCAACATGAGGGCACAGTCGTTCCGGTTCTGACCACAGTCCAACCACGTGTTGAATAGCTCCACTTTGTTTTGGATGCTGGTAGCGTATTCACTCACATTGATTGGGGCCCCGCCATGGGACTTGAGCTTCTTCACGAAACAGTCCCACTCTTTCTTGTTGGTAACGCTGTTTCTCAGCCCTTCCAAAGCCTTGCTTGTCTCTGTTGTGACAGGTACTAGTCGGTGCTCAGGCTCCTCCTCCACTTCATCATCATCATCTGACCCCTCTTCCTCTGATTCCTCTCCTTCTTCAGAAGAGCCATCATCATCGCTTTCATTCTTTCCTGAACCCTCTTCATCTGCCTCTTCCTGGTTTGACTCTTCTGCCGGTTCTCCTTCTTCATCCTCTGCTTCACATGATGACTCTTCATCGCTTCCTGAATCGTCTTCTTCCTCCGCCTCTGACTTGTCTTTCCCTCCTGACTTTCCTGAGTCTTCTGCTCCTTCCCCACCCTTCGTCCCCTCCAAGAGCTCATCAATGTCGGAGTCCGTGCTAGAGTCATCAAAGGAGTCATCAAGGATATCCTTAAGGGATGCCAAGTGCGCTTCAGCTTTCTGCTTTGAATCTAGCGATGATGCCCGAGAGGATGCAGAACCACCTTTGTTCTTCTTCTCTGGTGTAGTGAAGATGTGCTCTATCTTCTTCTTCTTCTTGCAAGGCACATACTTGACCCTGCGTTCCTTCTTTCTTGCCTTCGACTTGTCACGCCCTTCCGCCTTCCGTTTTTTCGGGGCCATCTCATCTGCCTTCTTCTCCTTCTTGTTTTTCTTCTCCTTTGCGCTCGAGTCTCGCTTCTTGTTCACCTTCCCTTCCTTCTTCGCTATCTCCTTCTTTCCATCAGGGTCTTCCTTCTTCTTCTTCTGATCTTGTTTCTTCTCTTCCGCCTTCTCTTCCTTCTTCACTACCTTCTTCTCTTGCTTCTTCTTCTTTTCCTTCTCAACCTCCTTCTCCGGCACCTGTTCTTCTGGGTCTTCTTTCTTCAGCTTCTTGTTGTCCTTAGCACCCTTCTTCTCTGGATCCTCCTTCTTGCTTGAATCTTCCTTTCGCTTTCCTTTCTTCTCATCAGTCTTGTCTTTCTCACCCATTTTCTTTGCAGCCTTTGCTTCTTTCCTTTGCTTCAAGTAGGCTTGAAGCCTCTCAGACGGTCCATCTGGTTTCCTCAAAGCTGATGGCCTTCCACCGTTCGCGGTCTCAGGCTTTGGGGATTTGGGAGGTTTCCCACGATGACGCCTGCGGGGGGGTGTCCTCATCACCTCTGCGGCCATAGAAGCACGTGGCAAAATTCGACCCTCGATGCAAAATGCACAGGCCAGAATGGCTACAGGGCAAAACTCAATCAGTTTCTATCAGTTTCTACACATCGCAGGTTTTCGACGCTATTCGCATGAATCTCGATCCAATTCGCACTAGCGGTTTGGGATGGTTTTCCATCAGATTTTTGTGGAAAAAATAGAAACTACTGGGATCAAGTGTGTCGACTCCAATTCGCACTAGTGTCCACTCCAACTCGCACTAGTGTCCGCTATGACTGCATCCCCTCACCCCTCTTGCGACAGGCCAGAAGCACCAAATGGTCTCTTCAAGGCAAAGGGCATGGTCCTGCGCAGTATGGCCGGAGAGATTGTCTTTTTCTGTTTGGGCCGGCAGGAATTGATAGACTTTTGAGGGGATCCATGCAAAAGTCTATTTATTTTGCGCGTTGGCTCTACAAATATGTTCATGTTGCAGCCTTCCAGGAGCAAGAGAACGTCTATCGATATGATCTAGAATCTAGGTGCCAAACGGTCGCTCTTCCTGAGATCAGCCCCCCTGCTTCCAGCAAATGTGACTTTGCATACCCATGCCACCCTACCACACATTTGTCGCGTGGCCACGTGGCCAGTCTTAATTGAGAAAATGTGATGCCTGCACACGGCTTGTGGCAGGCCTACTGCGATGAAAGAAAATCAAAGATTGGAGCCAAATCAGCTCCAGTCACCCAGGCGCGGTTGACTTTGGGCCTGCGGTTGAAAGAGTTGGTACTCTTTCGGGCTTGCTTCAAGAACTTCATAGCTCGACGGCGGAGTCGATGCACGTGGGTTGTTCGACATGCTGCCAGGGCTTTCCCGAACCTTAGCATGGGCAGCCAAGACAAGTTTAAGAAGAAACGCTGCAAAGAGTTGAGCTATAGTCACAAAACGAATTACAAAACTTACGCAACTGACGTTTGCTTGGAAACTGTCTCGGATAAGCTTGGCTTGATTTCAAGTCCTTCCCTCCGCAGATTCGCTTCTTAGCCTTGTAGTTCGTGTAAGACTTCACCATGTCTCTGGCCTCTAGGCATGGCTCGACGGTATGGTCAAGCAAGTCGTTCACCTCGCGGTGACCTCAGCCCGAATACAGGTTTGAACCCTTCACACGGTCCTGAACATGGTCCATCCCACCCACACAGCACATTTTATTCCACTGACCCGCTGACCACTCAATCACCAAACCTCCTATAGACATCCCCCATACCCAAAAAAATGTTGCAGATTGAAACTGGACACTGGAATAGAGGATGGTCCTCTTAACCGTTGGCGCTCCGAAATCGCTCATGTTGATTGAGAGCCTGTGGACCCGAAGCATTCTGACCATCTGTTGAAAGAGTGGGTGCAGCTCAAATATGCTGCTAGATGGCTGCTCGAGAACCCACCATACGCATTTCGATGCAGCAATCAAACATAAAATGATTGCTCTCGCAGCAAGGATGTTGCCATCCCTTACTGCCTGGGAATCCTTTCGCCCCAAAGGTCTGGTTCTGGAGCGCAATGTGCTTCCTCTTGACCTTCAGGCAGGACAGCAGCTCCAGACATGATTTAAATTTGAGGGATGGCTGGATGTATCTTTAAAGTCTTGATCGTAGCGCGCAACCAGAAAACATAAGGTTTCTAATGATAAAAACAAGAGGCATGAACACCCATGTCGAACAAACGGGCGCCGTCATGTGGCCGGCGCCGGGCCGAAGGGACGCCGCATAGAACAAGGCGTTGCAAAACCCAGCGGGTGTCAATAGGTCCATTCCAGGGCTGATGTCCACATCAAAGGGCATGGCCGATCGCCCAGCCTTGTTGAACTCCTGAGCTCAACCTGTGACCCCGGCTGGCCGGTGTTCTGCAGCGAGATGCAGCGAGAGCATGGGACACAGGATGGAAGGCCAGAAAACTAAAGCGCATGTTCCAACTCACGCGGGTTTGATTCTTGGCATGGTGCGGAAAACTCCACCACACTGGAACATAGAAAGCAACCTAGAATACAATTTCAACATGGGCCTGGAACAACCTGATGCTTTGCTGCGCAAAGCCCCCTGAGTCATTGCGCCGGAAAAAACTGGGCAGCGGGAAGCGGCCAAGAACGGAAGAGGCGCGCCTCTTCCTCACAGTTGTGTGTGTGTGTGTCTTTCAGTAAAACTTACATGTGTTTGGCCATGTTTGGCCACTATCGGCCTGACCACCACCCCCCCCCCAAAAAAAATAGCCGGTGTATAGGTCTCCCTTCCAACGTTCACCACGTAATTTTTTACAGCGGTTGCTTGTTTGAAACATCCTGGCCTCCACTTTGCGTGGCTGTGAGAACCATAGCTTGGCCATTGACTCTTCTGCCGAGATAACAGAAGCAGCAAGAACCCAGCATCCAAGCTGCAAAGCGCACACGGCCATACACATCTGGCAGCGGAGCACCCTGCAGCAGCACCAGTGGTAATCGCAGCGCCATACGTACATGGCATGCTTGGCGCTCAACACCAACTCCGTTCCAGCGAGATGGTTAAATTCTTGCCATGGCCAACCCATTCGTTTCCATACAAACGAGAAGGTCGGCAACTCATGACATGTTTGCGATGCCGTGTGTAGAAACGATGTGCTATTGGCACTGTTGGAGTCTTAAGGTAATCCATGAAGAGTCTTCATGCATGAACCTATACAGGCACACGTCGCTGACAATTTAGGGTCGCAAAACTAATGAAATACAGCTTTCCGACCCCTGATGGTTCGATTGCCTTCAGATCTCTATACGATTGTTCCCTGCCGTTTCACCTGACCTTTTGCAGGCCCTCCTTTCTCCTCGCCTAAATCTGTGATGTCGCACAAATCATCAATGGCATCTTCAAGCCGTCGCTTGCGTTGTCATCACTATTGCTGCGTGCAACAACTACAAACTCAGGTAAAAATCAGCTAGGACCTAGCAGCTAGGATCTGGAGCTCACCTGGGCCTTCCAGGGTTGCTGCTCCGCTCGGCACTGGCGAGCAATGTCCTTTTGGGCAAAACGTTGTGATTGCCTTGAGCCTCGAGGAATGCGATAAACGACAACCACGCTGCGATAAATAGAGCGCGCCTCCCATGAATCAACGCCGAAGCCCCCGCAACAGGGACGGGCAATTGATTCTATCGGGCAAGGTGGACAGGGGGTGGGGCAGTTGGAGTGGTAAAACTCGATGGTTTGCAATTGTCAACGCTAACCTCCCCTGCAACGACAACTTCAGCAAAGCTCTGGCGACGTTGGAGTTCGTTTCGCAGTTGGACACATCCACAGATGCTGGGCGTCGAGCCATATGTTTCATCGGGCTCTTTGCCCTGCTTCCTCGCCATTTCTTCTTCAAACCTCCTCTTAGGTGACTTTGTGGGGACCGGCACTTGGTCAGTCTGGCGCTGCAGTCCAGAGTCTAACTCTCCGCTAGTTTCGGCACGCTCGTTCGTTTAAACCAGGCAGGGTGACCAGGGTGCCATACTTCATCTCTTGAGCTGGTTTGGCGACCACTGTTTTCAAATCTTGCACTTTCACTCCAATGGCTGGAGCATCTTCCAAGAGCTGCCTGCCATGGAAGCATCGCGGTGACAAGACTTGCGCAAAACATGAAACACCGCGGAAACCCGATGAAACATGCCCTTAGGTCTCGTCACTGAGAGCTCGCAAGTCCTTTGGCTGAATTGCACAATTGCTGAAAGTTCTTCGCCCTTGTCAATCCGTCCTCCGCGCTTTCCTCTTCGATCAACAATTCGGACGGGGGCGCCACTGCATCTTGCCAAAGAAAGGCATCCTGCCATGATTCCACAGGAGTGCGGCATCAGCATTGCACAGTGGGTAAATCCATGCCATGGGGGCGTACAACTTCAGGACATCATTGTACCAGCCACCTAAGACATCTCACCAACTGCGAAATAATGCGGGGTTCAATTTCTATGGCGGCGCTAAGGTTTGCACAAAAAGCATCAAAGTCCAACGGATCTTCAGGGTTGCCCCAAATGACTTTTAATTCTTCCAAATTCGCTGCCCCTTCTTCCAGGACGGCGTCAACACCTTCCAAGCCTAAACGTCTCAGCACTTTTTGCTGCAAGTTTATCAATTGCGTCCAAGGCAACAACTTGCTGCTTGTTCGAAGGTGACCTTGTCTCTTCCCTTTGACGCTGCTTTGAAAATTGCAAGCCTTAGCCAACTGATCGGGCTTTGCTCTACGTCACACAGGTGCCAGATGAATCCCTATCAATATTCAACGCATATGTGCATACATACATATCAGCTCAGCGTTCGTTCTTCTCCAAATGCTAGGACCGCACGGGGTACCCGAGCATTGTCAAGTTTTCCAACTTTTTCTGGCAAAAGGCAGGCAACACAAGTGCCCGCTCCAAAACGGAGGCGTAAAAGGTCATTGCCAGTTTTTCCGAAAGCATTTCCGATGCTTGGGTTCTCGTTTAGTCGATATAGAGGGGGGGGCAGAGCGAGACGAGGCGAGCATCTCGGTGACTGGGCTGTGGGTGGAATATGGAGGGGCGCGATACGGGGCGCGCGTGCGGATGGAAGATGAAAGGGCGTGACGCGGGAGGGTGGACGGGATGGGCGGGGGGAAGGACGGCGGTGTGGATGGAGGATAGAAGGGCGCACGGAGGCGTGATGGAAGATGGAAGAGCGCGATGCGGGAGTGGATGCGACGGAAGGGTGGGCGAGATGGATGGGGCTGTGGGTGGCACAGCGCAGGAGGACAGGGCATGGAGGCGCGATTTAACGGGAGGGGTGGACGGGGCTGTGGATGGAAGACGCGGAATAAGCCCCAACAACGCTTATGTCAAGAGCTCCTTTGGATGGCTCTCCCGGTTGATCCAGTTTAGGTCGCCGCCCTCAGCACAAGCAGCTTGCGCTGCAGCTTCCCACGTCCAAAGCTGTCTTGCCGCAGTGTCTGCCCACTCCTGCCAAAGCTTGTCTGATGGCTGGAGGTGTGGAAAAGCCATTTCTGCCATGGCCATCAGGTCTGGGTTGTCCATCTTAGAGCATTGATGTCTCGCCGCGGCGTCTCTTGTTTTTGCTCGCTCATTTGTTGAAAGCAGTGAGAAGTCTTCCTCCACGCCTGTAGCAGCAGCTGGCCTGCAGCAGGCCAACCCAAGCAGCACACGGTGGATGGATCGCGTCGAGCCATTCTTATACAGCTCCCAACCATAGGTGGACAAAAGGAAACTGATCACTTAAAGCAGGCCTTCCACAAGGCAAAGGACGCCCTGTTCGGGCAGCTTGAATAGAATTCGAAAGCGGGGAGGCATTGAATCAAGAAAACCAAAAATAGCCAAGGCCTCTGGCGCTGGTTGTCAGAAGAGGTTGGAACGCTTTGAAGGGGATCGCCCTGTGGAAACAACGCATCGAACGATGTTCGAACGCTTTGGGCATCAATGGTTTCTTCTCCCTTACAACCGCCAGCCACCAGATCAGGGCAGCCGTTTGTTGATCTTCGGCCACCAAATCCGTGCGTCCATCCTGTCGGATGCGCTAGCGGCTTAGCGTTCATTCTGGCTGCTCCTCAAAATTAAGCTCCGTGCGGAAACAGCAATCCTATGTCGCCCCGCAGGGTCGCCACAGGCATCATCCAACTTGAATGGGATTCATCCAGCAAACGTGTATAGCATCCCAGGCTCTTTTGCCGGTCAAGACCACATGGCTCGCGTCAAAGCTTCTGGAAACTTCTGTCATATGGAAGAACTCATCGTAGCTTGGCCCCTCGCCCGAAGAAAACTCCAAATCCGTGAGCGAATAAACTTGAAGGGAATTCTCTCCAAGCTTGCGCGGTCCTCCGTTGAAGTGAAAGTTGAAGGCTAATACCGGGCTCATACCACCATGTGAACAATGTGAAGACATGTGGATCTGCGAAAGGGCAGGGCGCGTGGCAGGTGAATATTCTGAGCGAGGGGCAGCAAAAGGTGTCCCAGACAGCTGTCGGGAGCGACGTGTCCTGCTGCAGTGCGCTGAATTTTGCTTCGTGATTCTTCAACTCGCAGCGCTGTGGGGGCTCACGCTTAGCGGAGGACTGCTGGGGTGGCTTCTTCGCAGCTGCGGGGTTGCCGGCTCCCGTTTGGCTTTTCGGTGGCGGGGCTTCACCTTTCTTTTGCAATTGCGACGTCGAAGACTGAAGGGCTGGCGCCTTTCTGCAAAGGGTACTGGGAAGGCCGTGGACAGGTTTGATCAAAAGCCGCCTGGCCCAGTGCTTGTGCGCCATGCGAGCTCCGGCGCCGTGTCTACAATGTAACCAATATCACTCACAAAAAAATATTCAAGTCTTGTACGCCCCAAACCTCTCCAAATATACAAAACCCAATAGACGCGCGTCTTTTACCATGTTGTCTGTTATTGGCACCGGCTTTCAAGGCGTCATCTGCCTCAACAGCTGTTGAATCAGGCTCAACCAGTACTCGCACTGACGCACGCCAAATCCGATTGCATCCGTTCTGCCCTGGCGACGACGCGTCTGGTAGAAGAATAGGTGCCCAGCGCTCCTCCTTGAAGGCCTGACAAAGGATCTGCCGAATGGTTGACTGTTGCAAAGCGGCTGGAAAATCCTAGGCTTCCGGAGATGCCAGTGCCCTGGTCTTTGGCGGTGGCCCCAACAGTGCAGCAGCACATTGGGTCGGCAGATGCGAGCAAAGCCAAGCGCTGCTTTCAAAGGCTGCTTTGGTTGCTCTGGCTCCTCTCAAGCTGAAAGAATCGGCAGCCCTGCATCTCCGATCATGGCACCTAACATGTTCTTCAGGCGACCGAAGCGCAAGCACCGACAGGTGGCACTGGACAGGACAAAAAGGCCGAAGCCCGGAGGAGGGCTTGCAGCATCCATCCATGAAGCTTGAGAAAAAGAGTCTCACACATGGCAGATAGTGCGTCATCATGGTATAGTCACACTGTCATCCCCGCCGCTCGCGCAAAAAACAGAATTCAAAGCATACAAGAAAAACACAGCCCACGACAATTCTTCCTCAGTAAGGTCAGCTTGCTCCCTTAGCGGTTGTGAAAAGTCAAAAAACATCTATATGTATATATATATATGGAAATTGCACTTACAAACATGTAGCGTGAAACTCAATTAACCATGTCAGCTCGGCAATGTCTCGATAGTACTGCCAGTAGCTGCTAAGCCTACCTCCCAGCGAAAGTGTGCTCCAGTCGAACTTTGGAGATTGAAGACTCGCCAAATCTTTGTCGGGCCATCTGCACACTGCATTCAATTCAACATTAACATGCGGGCTCACCTGATAAGTTTTCTGCCGATTGCGCACGACGCGTGGCCTCAAGTCGATCAAGTTTGCCTTTGCACACGAAGCCTGGAAGTGACTGGGAAGCCGGCCCTCATTCCACTATCAGCAGTTCTTGTCGCTAAGGCTTAAACGCGAACAACAGCCAAGCTACTCGGAAAAGGCCCAAACATTCGCGGCCAAGCGGCTGTACCATTCAACTGTTAGCGCCCAACAAACTAAGCTGTAGGCCGCCAAAACCCCAAAGCACCAAAAGCAAGTCCGGCCTAAGGTCACAGGGTGCATGACGTGTCTTCAAGCATGGAACGCTGCGCTCCCCCTGGCCCTATCCTACTTACGTTTCAACTAAATACGCAAAACTAAGATGCACACGCCAAAAATGACACGGTATGGTTCTTCGCAGCTTGGCCTGCAACACTTGTTGCAAAAGTATTAACGCTGCGACGATGGCAGGCGGAAGCCTTTGCACTTGGCGTTCTGCGTTTAGGAGCGTTGGCGTTGCAACCTCAACTCAAAGCGAATCATCGGGCGTCCGCCGCGAAAATCAAAGCTGGTTCAGAGTTCCGCTCGCTTTACGGCTATGCTAAACCAATGAAAGCTTCAAAACACTCCATCAAAGTCATGTTTGAGCAAACGTTTGCCCCACCTTTAGGCGATGGCACGTTGGCTCACGTCAGCCCACATTGGGGTGTTGTTTGAGTTACTCTCAAGTCAGTTGATGCTGACCCTTGCCAAGCGACGCCAACCAACACTGATCCGAACCACCTTCTTAATTTTAGTTCCCTAAAGGCAATGTTTTGTTGCACGTTGACCTTGCGATGAGCACAGTGTCATACCCGCCAACAAACCTATTGAACCAAACGCATTAGCCCAACTGCCTTACTAATTGACCACAGCTCCTACTTGGATTCGAGAATTGGGTTTGGCCCTTGGCGCATTTATTGAACATAGACTCCGACACGATGCCTTGCGCGTTTTCATTGGGCCGATGGCTCAACATGAAATGAGCTTGTCGATAGCTGAAGTGTGGTTTGGTCCAAGTCTTGGACGTCATGACCTTGCGTCACTTGCTACGAGACTGTGTGTGTTTCCAACCATTGCCTGACTTGCCCAAACAATGTGGACACTGAAGGCGTTCTTGTGGTCAAAAAAAGAGGCGGTGTCTGACTATATAAGGTGTTCAAAAAAACTACAAGACGTGAGCACTGGATATACAAGACGTGTGCCGATATCCAATATAGAAAACACACTCGTTCTGGGACCTGGGGCTCACTTGCCTGGCGCGCAGTAGTTTCTAAATGTTTTGGCGTTCTGGTGGTCATCCGTGGCTTTCTCCGAAGCAGGCTCAGTGAATCATGAACCTCAGACAATTTGAGCCATGCCTTGCATGAAAGCTTGATTTCGTAGCATCGTGGGCCTCGAAGTGCAGATTTGGCAGCACTTCGAGGTTCACCAAGTGCTGTGCCTGCCACGAAATCTGCACTTCGAGGTTCACCAAGCGCCGTGCCTGCCACGAAATCTGCACTTCGAGGTTCACCAAGCGCTGTGCCTGCCACGAAATCTGCACTTCAAGGTTCACCAAGTGCTCCGCCTGCTACGAAATCTGCACATCAAGGGCTGCGCCTGCCGAAATCTGCAAACGAGCTTTGTGTCCAAAAGTCACGACTCACTGCACCTGTCACGAAATCTGAGCTCCTCAACGATCACCACCATGTCCAAAGTGCTGCACCTGCCACGGAAACTGCACTTCGAAGTAAAACAGCACCGATCCCTAGCACCTGTCGCGAAAAGTCGACCTTTCAGCACCAAAACACGAGGTTTCCCTTGCCCCTGCCACGAAAAGTGATCACCATGTGCGAAAATGCGCGCGGCACCACAACGAGAGCGTAGTCGCGACAAGCACACGCTCCAGCCACCCAGATTCTGCGAGCCTGCGCAGTCGAAATGCACATTGACGATGTCGAGGGGCATGAATGTACTGTAAATATCAGCGAATTAGCCGCACACGCCCGCGCGCTTCAGCGGTCTAAGCATCAGCTGCTTTCTATTACCGTAACCCCTAGTGTGTCCACACTGTTTGGGGGAAAACAGCATCTTGCGCGAAGAGCGGGCCAAAATATTGTCTCTCCAAGCTTGAGACAAGCGTGGGCATCCTGAATGTGGCACGCCCCGCCGCGTTGACAATAGTGGTGGTGCTGCCCGCTTCAGGAACGACATGCTCTCAGTAAACAAAACAAGAAGGGTGATAGGCCAGAGCAAAAAGGGTGCCACCGCCAAAAGCGCAGTCCCAAAGCATGGTCCTCTGTCGCCGCTCAGAGCTGAACGGCTTCCAACAACATAACATAGGCCAGGAAACTAGAGGAGGTACTAAATGCACCAGGAAGGATGAGTCGACCAAAGAATAGGATGGGAGATACACTGATCAGCAAACACAACAATTAATACCGACTAAACAGGAGACTCGGAGACAGAGATGAGATGGACTATGGTCGACACCTTTCGCTACAGTTCACCAGCGCCTAAACCAAATTTTTAGATAGATGGATAGATAGATAGATAGAGAGTTTTTCAGTTTCGGGCGCTCCGAAGCGGTCTCCGGATGGCGAGGGCGCAGGAGATGATCTCCTGGCTGATCCTGTTGATCAGTCTAAGCACCGTGGTGCGCAAGCTGCTTAAATTAAAAAATCATCCAAGGACCAAAAGCCTCTATGGCAGTCCACAAAATGTTCATGCAACACAAGGTTCGTGGTGGACCGGTTCACATTCCTGAAGCAC